GTCTGAAGTTTAGAGAAGAATATAGTCAAATGCAAGTTAGAAAAGAATAAGCCTAACACGGTTTTAAATTACGATTATTTGTAGTGATGCATCATTATAAGAAAATGTCCTTGAAATATTAACAGAGGAAAAATAAAAATTGAAATCTACATAGATGAACTCGAATGGAATTATTTAAATAACCGTGGTCATACTCACCGTCGATTGAAACATGTACCTTTTGTATCTCCGAACAAAGGAAAATGGACTCCCAGCACCTTCGTAATGACCACGTTTAAGAAAAGTGCAAATCAGCGCTTTTTAATCGTTCGGATATGCAGAGTTGATGAAGTAATATATGCTGATTGGCTCTCAGCTATCCACGGCACGAGTGCTGGGCACACACGAGGGAGTTCCGATCAATCAAGTAGTATAAGTCGGCCATAGCCAGACCTTGAGAAATCAAACACGAGGATTGGTTCGTAGAGTAAGTCTGTTTCTTTCCGTTAACCAATACCGACTGCTGTTGACCATTAGCCTGAGGGCTAATAGACTTCGGTGGAATGCGAATGCCAAACAGCACACAGAAACCCTGAATAGTCACTCGTCTAAACACTAACCGAGCTCGGTTTAACTTTGTCAGTCGGACGTCAATCTCTGTCCCTTGTGTGATACAGGCTTTTACTATACTGGAGTGCTATCGATACGACGCATGTTCCCTGGAAACAGGTTGAATTCTAATTGTCAGTAATTATTACATTTAAAAATAGTGAACAAATGTAGTTTAAAACCAATCTACTTAAATCTTTTCATCTTTAAATATTTCCTCTAGATTGAAAATATTTCCGCTGTGTGTATAGGTTTTATCTACAAATTTGTTATCATCGCATAGGCTGCAGAAATAGAAACGGAAATCACTAATCACCACTACAGTAACATGTTAGATACGTTTAAATTATATAATAATATAGCGAGATATATAATTCTTTAGCTTAGAGATAAGAATAAGAAATTACCAATTATTAAAACCCGAGCATAGATTATTAATATTTTCAACTTCATTATTTTAATAACATATCTATCACTCTTTCAAGATCCACAAGCGTCTGAACAGTTGCAGCGCCTCTCAAAGCAGTGGAAGCTCAGAGGTTTTAATATCGGACTTCCTTTGATAATTATTTGCCAATTCCCCTCTCACCCTTTCCCCCTGCTATCTTCATCCACTATCTCCGGAGCAACTTTTTATTCTCCGGAATTTCAATTGCCAGGAGGACGCAATCAACGGTCGAAAACTCTGTGGGAAGAATTCGCCAAGAATCTAGAGATAAAAATAAAGTATGACAGTATTCACTTTCTCGGTGAATCAAATTGACTATAGACAGAGAAATCGTGATGTATTTATCCTATAGAATACCGAATTTAATCAGATTAGAATATCAATTTATGTTTTTCAAATATTTCAAACTCGAACGAAAATTACAAATTTCTAATTCCCCTATATTGTTCCTACTTTCCTGTTCTTTGATTGCATCAGAGGACTTTTAATTCATTTTAGAATTCGCTGTAAAATTTGTTTACAAATTGATTTCAATTCTTTATAGAGAAACTACTCGATGGATTGTTTTCAAATTATGCTTGACCATTCTCTTAAGAAAACTGGTCGCTATGGGCTGACGTAGCTAGATAGTTTTTTTCCTTTAAATTGATTACTTCCATATCTTTTTTGTGATTGCCAAGTTGCCAACCAAACACTATTTTTTGTTTGTTCAGTGTTCAACTTGTCCATGCTGTCGAATCGAGCAACGTCGCGTTGATGACATTGTGATACCAACTTTTGTTTACTTAAATCTTCCATAAAACGTAAGGAAAGTTTGAAAACAATCTACCATAGAATTTCTTCATCAAGAATTTCTGAAGATACCGCTCGCTTTAGAGCCGTAATATCGCTGTAGCCTCTTAGATGGCTGAATGGCTATGAGCACAAATGAAATCACGTTCGGCGGGTAGGGGGCGACAAATTTGAGGTAACACCCAGGCGATAAACGCTGTAAGAACGTTCCCGGCAGTGAATTATACCCGAGGAAGATAGCATCCCAGTTATCCGCTGCTCGTACGACACTGTCGCCTTTAAACGCGTTTTCCATCTCGAGATGGCGCGGCTAGGGCTCTTTCGCGAACTCCAACATCCTTCGCGATTCGCTTTTGCATAATTAACTTCCTGGAGGACGCGTTCGAGACGTTCTCAGCTGTTCACACGACGTTCAGACGCGATATCGGCCGTCCACGGTCCTCGACAGTCAATTCTCGCGTGGCCAGGTGACGAGAGCAGTGAAAACAAACGGCACGGAGCCAAGGAGCCAGCTCGCATAATGAATACGACCCTCTCCACGACTCCCTTCTCCGATTTACTCGCCCTACTGCCGCGTAATTGGCGCGTCTTTGTTTTCGGCATCTACAGTCGACTTGGAAATCCCCGGGAATCTTTTTTTTTCTACTTTTCACGAGTTGAGAGTAACGACTTCACGGCCCTTGCTGTTTGCAACTCCGATTAAACAGTTTGCGTTGTTGGCTAGAACTTACGCGAACTGCCATAATTGTGATCCATTATTAACTCTTTGACTTATAGGACTAACCTTATGTATGTTATACGTAGTTAAGTTGGTGTTTGAAGTCAGTAAACAAGGATGAAGATGCTCTATCGATATACCCGAAGAAGACCTAAAGAAAAAAATTAAAGCTTCGACCTAATACTACCTTTGTATTGCCCTGAAAAAAATGAAACGATACTATCACGACTCTGACACCATTTTCTACTCGCGATTTAACGTAAGAGATTTTGGCTCTCCTCCAGGACACTTATTTCTCATCTCGGTGTTAGGAATTATTGCAAGGACGCGAAAGGGAAATACTGTTAGATCGTTAGGGTGAATTTAAACCTCCCTTTCTGGTCTCGCCCTCGGGAAGTACGCAAGTTTATGGAAATCGTACGATCATAGTTTTGATTGGCGGAGGAACGTGACCCTGCCTCTTGGTAATCGGAAATTTTACCGTTTAGTTTCCTTTGGATCGCCTAATTAGTAACGAAACTTGACGCCTCGGTATAGTCTTAGCGGAGATTTCAGCGCGTCTAGAGAACGTCGACTTCGCGAAGTCGTTCGTTCGCGGTCGTTTACATTAATTGTTTCGGTAATTCCGAAACGGCTGCTGAAAGAATCCACTCTGACGTGCCAGGAACGGTATAACAGCTCTCCTTTCAGGTGGGAGAACGCTCGTAAACCGGCAGCCGGATCCTCGGAACAAAGAGCGGCTAATGAAACTCGGAAAAAGACGTGTGCACTTTTTTCTTCGCAGACGCGAAAGTTCGCGCTAAAGCTGTTCTTTTTTTCTTTTTTTTTTTTGGAGAGAGAATGTAAATTAGCCGACTTGATTTTCGTAGAAAAAATTCAACGTCGTTTGGGAACGCGTGATTCCAACCTTTGTGAGATTTTCTAATTTCTTAATCTTGGAGTTCTCAATTTACGTGGCAATTCGAATGTACGAATTAACAAATTTTTAGGATTTAAAGTTTTCTACTTTTATAATTTTGTGGTATTCTTACTTTCGAATTTTTTAATTGGAAAACTTTCGTTTAGGGATTTGGTAAATTGCTTGTGAAGTATAAATTAATATAAGAGAACAAATATACATATATATACATAAATTGATGGATTTATATACATGTAGTGATCATATATTTTTTTAATGTACTACTGTGTATATAGTTATTATAAATAAAAAATGTATATATTTATTATTTCTATACATTATTATGTATACATTTAATCAGGAGTTTGTTTTGGACTATATGTTCCTTTATATGATTTTATGCTTCACAAACAATTCATTAGGTAGAATATAAAATATACAACATATAGAAAAGAAACACACATAGAAACTATACGTATAGAAGAATATACAGATATATGTGTAGTATTGGGTAATGTATGAACGAAATTAATACATCTGAGGATACTAATCTAGTCGAAAACGTTTACGATTATTAACTTTCGTCGTCAACGAATAAATTCTATTTTCTCGGAAGACAATTTCCCTGCGGAATAATTTATCACGAGTAGTACCATTTGATTTAAATATGGATATACTATTCGACAATCTTTGGCCCATAAATTTCCAAATTTCCATAATTCTCCAATTTTAAAATCTCCAATGCCACCCAATATATATGCGTTAATAATTGCTAGGAATTGGGTTGCGGCAACGAATGAATCAACCTGAGAGCACCGGTTTGATGCGTGGCGGCCGCGTATTTGTTTTGGAACCGTGTCGATGTTTTCCTTCGGTATGTAATAAGTATATTATATATTCGACGTGTCCACGACACATGTGGATGTTTGTCGCATTGCTGTTACGCTACGTCACTATGCCAATGAACACACAAATCCATAACCGTTAGTTCCATTCAGTCTCAAATGCAACGTCTCCATATTTCTTTCTAACATGCGTGAAACAATTAGTTTCTGTTTCTGTAAAGTATCCTTGCTTGAACGTTAATGTTAGTCGATATCAATTATTATAGTGTCGTTGTTAATATCACGTTCGTGTGGAAGAACATTTAAGGAAACCACTTAAGTGCATGGAATACACAGTTGTGGAATACTTGGAGCAAAGATGAAACGCTCTGGAAAATTAATTTTCTTCGAAACGCCTAGTTACTCGCTATTCCAAGCTTCTATGATAAAACTCCTCTCGTTCAAGGACCTCCGGAACAAAATTTCCGAGATCGATTTCATTCTTGCCCCAAGGTCATCCCTCCACTGACGAACACATCCTGTGCACTACGCTACGGTGAGGAACCACCAAATAGACAGGCTACGATCGGTGATACAATGACGTAAAGGGGGGACAACAACAGACTTCATGCTTCGAAACCTGACAAGACTCGCCACGTGTCCCGGGTCAACGACTAATCTCTCGACGGACAAAAGGTGGGGATCTCACGGTGGACCGCTTGAGCGATTTACCTCTTTTACCTGAGCTGACTTTGAACGGGGATCGGCGACCTGGACGGTCTCGTCGGGAGGCAGCCGCCAGGAGTTCCTCTCGATGTTGACGCTGGCGTTCATAGCGGCCTCCTCCTCCGCCTCCCGTGTCCTTCGTCGTTCCTAACAGCTTCGTCCTTGCGCGAGCACTTCCCCGAGGTCCCCAGGGTAACCCCTGGGCCACTCCTGGGGCCGAGGTCCAACACCAGCAATCCACAGTTCCTCACCTACGACAAACATTAAACCATCGTTAATATTTCTAACCAAGAATTTATCCATTTCATTTATTTATTCGGTTGGGCTTTTTATTGGACGTCGCCAAATGTTCCGTAAGTGGCCTTGTTTAGGTAGACTACTCCTGTATATGCACTAAAAATTTATTGCTTCTATGTATGCCTACTCACAAGTGTCATTGTGTCATCGAATTCTTGTAATCGTTTCATTTTAATAAACGATATTTGTATTTGCTCCGATGAGAAGATCTATCTATAAAAGAGTTTCCCTAATAGATCAAATAATATTTTAAACGATTGTTAGGTAACTGAAACGCTCTTCGTCTAAATCAATGGCTTAAATCGTTTGAGAACTGCGTTAAATTTAGTGTTTATTCTAGCGGTAATAACGAACAAAGACCCGATGACGATGCTCGATGTAACCGTGTTAATTCAGTCTAGTTGTTCACTAATTTCATTGAGAGCTCTGCTGATTGATGAGGCCTGATTGCTCCGTTAACTATCCGAAGGTTGAGTGCTTTGACTACTGACGGTATGAAACTAGAGTGCTTCTATCGGTAGCCATCCTGACTACGCGTAGCTGAATCGCACTTTGAGCTCTCCTAGCAATTCCTCAACTATTAATTCCCAACTAAATATTGGAAACTTGGTTGCCACCGTGGTTTACTTCTAACAACTGATTAGTAGCCAATTAACAGACTAACTATTCTAACGATGCTTTAATAGGTGAGTGCTTAAGACGATCTGTTATAGTTGGAAATTGAGGTCAGAACCTAACCACGAACATTGATGAATATTTTTGTGATACATGTTCAACGGTAAACTCTACTTGCACGTGAATTAGAATTGTACTTTTACGTTCTGTTATTTGTAAAAATTCATATTCACAACAGTTTCAGCATGTTAACAAGGATCGATTTTGTAAGAGTAAATAACTATCAGGATGAGATGTTTGATTTAAAAATCAAACCGGAAGCGGGGAATTTCCCCACTTTCGTTTCTTACTCTCACAAGCTTGAATTCCTTTAGCTCGATACTTTTGATTCTCGAGTCTTGGACAAGTTCCTGGAAAAATAAGTAAAAAGTGTCGAAGCAAGCTCCGTTTCGTCGATGCTTGTATAAACGGAATAAAAAAGATCGTCGGAGTTCCCTTAATTGGCAAGTGATCGAAGAAAAATCAAAGAGCAGTTTCTAAAGAGTTGAACGTTCGAAGACAAGGCGAGCTGGTCGCAAGACTGAGAATAACAAAGAACTGTGAAAACTCAATCCGACTTCCCAACCGGTAAGTTAAACACAGTAATGGGGAGTCGAAGCTACGAGCAAACCTTATTGTCCGTGTTCCAGGTGAGCTGATCGAACGGTCCGCTTCTGGAGCGATTGATATCGATTTCTGATTAGAAACCCATCAGCGCGGAGAAAGGTTAAGGACGTCTCTGATGAAATTGCATGGCAATTTGCTTGAGACGCTCGATCGGTTTTTTCCATTCATGTCTCGTTAAACGTGAGTGAGAAAATGTCAATATATTTTTAGCACCGTCTCATTTATAACTATTTCAAGGTATATCAATCTCGAATTTCCGCAAGTAGATATTTCATTTTTTGAAATTTTAAATTCCGATCATTAGACTGCGGATATTTATGCATTTATCACAAGTGTAAATGTACAAGAATGTATAGAAATGTCCTTCATCTGTGTATACAAAAATATGAATTTACAAAAAACATTTGTTAAATGAAAATATTTTTGTTCTATTATTATTAACTATCCTGTAAAGTCATCATTCTTTAACGTAATCAATGCCTTCATTATTTCTGATATATCGTGATATCGTGAACTCTAAGCGAATTTTTTGCTGGAATCAGCGGTAAGATCGTGCAAATCACCCCCGGAAGACGCGAACAAAGAGTAATTACGAATTCCGCGCGGAATTAAACCTGAATAAGGGATTACATTCGCCCTGGTTGTCCGTCTACTCCTATGAATAATTTAATTAAAGTCTAAATTCCCCGTCGGTAACGCAGACAGCGAGTCATTAGTTTATTTTAGATTTAAATTTCAAATGACGGCCACAGAGGCCTCGCGCGGCGAACATGCAAATTGAAAATACATATGAAGCAGTGCATCGTTCGCGGCATGGGAGTAGCTAACAGACAAATTACCTGGCAATTAACGACAGTATCGATTTTTGACGCAGTTTCCTTTCATTCTTGCATAACGTGTGAGTCACTTCTGTACGATTCTCATCAACTTAACATATATACACTTAACTACTAATCGTTCGGTCTGGAATCTTGAGTGAATTTCAGAGTTCCTTCTGGTAGCAACTATATGTATGTTACGCTTAATCTATTACTACGCGGTCGAAGTACTGCGCGAAATCTTGGAAACTTAGGAGCACTTTCTGAGTAGTTACGTTTGCGAAGTGGCTGCCGCAGATTTTGAAGAAACTTGATGTGCTTGGGAAAGTGCTTGAGTTACATCATTAGACAGCAATGCTTTCCAATTGGTAGAAACGGGAGATAGACAAGATACTAAAATCAATTTAAGATTCTGAATTCAATTTTTTAGATTTTTCGGGCATGGAATTTAGGAGGCTGTTATCGTACACGATAAGGAAAAAAAGATTTACTGTTTTTGAATGTCAAAAAGACTGGCACTCGTTAATTATTTATTATATAAAATAAAAATTCCTGAAAGGAAAATGATTTTTTCTTTCGTCCATACGATAACAACCCCTTAACAGATAATTAAAATCCATCACACAAATTTAACAACCCATCGAGATAGCTTAGATAATGTAAATTTCTCAGTAACATAAAAGTATATGCAAATTTCGCCAATCAAGTATTCGATAAGCTGGTTGTTCCGTTTAAATTGAAATTCACAGGAAGTAGTAGTAGTTCCATGCGATAGTTGGTAGCAACAGTTAAATCGTTGTTCCGCAACATAGATTTTTCTATAAATACAATCGCGAGAATTTAAATTCCCGGGACAGCGTAGCCGTGAAAAACTCTGAAACGAGAGAAGAATTCAGAGTCCACGGGAGGTTCGCCTTTTCCCCGTGGTACTCGTGCTTCGCACCCTTTGCATACCTTTTACCTCCCCTATAAATTCCTGCCGACTGGTTCGGTAGTTCGTTATCACGATCTACGCTTTGGTTGCTTCCACGTTTAATAGTACGCCCGGTGAACTTGAGCGATACTGTATAAATATTTGCTACGTGCTGGCGAGACTTTGTGATCTAGTATGATCCCTTTGACGACTACCAGAGATATAGACTTTATTCTTAAACTCTGTATTAACCCTTGGTTTACATTGTAATGTGCATTAACTCTTAGACATAAATTTTTTTAAAGTAATTATTAGTTCCAGGACTGTTAATAATTGCTTCTACGTGTTAATGTACGTATTATTTATGCATGCCTATAAATAATTAAAGTTGAGCTTTGTTGACAAAAACAATGTAATAAAATTCACACAGTAGAATCACCGCTTTTCAATAGTAGACTCAGAAGTAGATCATTCTTCCTCCATTTCAAATTGTACACCGTTCAATGAATAAAAAACGTCAATAGACGCTTTACGGTCACATTTCGCCAGCCAATGCATTTTCACGTAATCGAATGTTACACGTTCATTGTTTATTGCGAACGATAAACGTAGAAGGTCTTGTATGCAAGCCACTGGAAACCTTATAATCCGGGCAGGCGCTTTTCTATCGTTCTTTTCCACCAATGGCTCGTAAAAGGAAATTGCATGAAAATACAGTTCACGTACGACCGCGTGCATCATTTCAGCTTCCCGTTCGGCTCGACGTGACGCGACCACGCAAAAACGCGAGATATCTTGCTCCATGGATTTCAATAGGCCTGCGGTTTTATGGCGACGACACGAAATTGCTGGTTGCATTTGATATTCTCCACCGTTGACAGAATTCCTGCCTCATGCTCCGCGGCAATTCGATATTTCATTACTCGGTGCACACTTATTTAACAACTCACGAGTGTTTTAAAATACAATTATTAATATTTAATTAGGTATTGCTATGTTTTCTTTAGAATTATAGAAATGCTGGGCTCGGATTCGTAGAATCCAAAATACCGATCTAAATTTTTCTGATTCTTTAAATGTGGAATTTCATATGATAAAAACCATTTTATTGTTTATTATATATTTGGTTAAACACTCTTATATATATATACTAATGAGAAATTCTACTTGTATTACTTTTGTAATAATTATATTCTAGTATACGTTTATTTTCGATGAAAGACAAGTCAGAAAATTTTGTATAATATTATTTGACAAAGTATTTAGAAAAGCAAAATATACACAAATCCGAATATACATCACCAGACAGTCAACACTGACGACCTCACAAGTGAAAATCATAGTCACTTGATAAATATTACTGTACCTCGCTGACATCGCTGTAATTCAAAATGGTGGTAAATCTATTTGCTAATACCAAAAAATCTACTTACAGTAATCGAATTCCAAATAATTTGGTACATATAAGGAATATTATTTCTTATTTCACCAGAAAAATTCGGTAGTACCTTGAAACATTTTTTCCGCAACGCCATTGCCAAGGAAGCGAGAGCTGAAATCAATGACCGCCTCGAGGCCAACTTCTGGCAACTTCTAACAGTATTATCCCCGATTTCACTGTCGGAGCGTCGAAGGTTCGTCTATTAAATCGTTTTCGAGTATTCTCGCTTTCGAAACTGAATCGCTTCATCATCCCCTGTCCCGGAATCCTCCATCGAGCAGGAGGGAGGTTGCTTTCGCGGAAAAGTTGGATAATGAGACAGTCGGCGGATGGACGAAAGGCTATTGCCCGGAGGAATCATTTAATTACATCACCAGGCTTCTTTTCGTTCGTCGGGAAGTCGATAAAGATGGGCGAGATTGGCATGGGACTCTTTGAAGTTTTCAACGTTCGAAAAGAACAAGATTCCTCCCCTCCCTCTTGAAGACGGATTAACCTTAA